AGTAGTAGCATCAAAATTGAATTCATCAGACCCTGAGAGGTGGGAATTTCAGAAGTGCCCTCCATTTGTCCTTCTTTTGTTTATCCCCAGTATTTACCACCAAATATTTCTTCAAAGGATCGTTGCCTTTCTCCCGTGGGCCACAAGTGATACACGACATTTGTCGTCAGCAAATGCGATACGTCCCTTTCAACCAACTTTGTGCTCTTTCGCACTCGTATCCTACATGTTTCAAAATGTCTTCTGTGGGAAAAAGCAAATTTTATTTAGGGATAAATTTAAAAGTTTGCTTTATAAATGTTTAATGTGAGTACAAGATATGAGATCCTGAACATTGCAGGGTTATTCTGACATTTATCTGGAAATGGGTCGAATGGCACTGTCAAATATGTTGGGTTCTATTGGTTATGCCTATGGATTCAATGTGGTTCAGAGCAGTTACTCCTCAAAACCATCTCACTACGGTCCTCACGCACTGTTTTCAACATGTCCCTCTCGATCCGTATTTCCACGAGGATTTTTATGGGACGAAGGATTTCACCAGTTGCTGTTCCGAAAATTTGACCCCAGTTTGTCGCTTGAGGTGCCTTCTTTGGATACATTTTTGCTCGTACTGTTATTGAATTGTTTTGGCTTGAAAACACGAAGCCGGTTTAATTCTTTTTCTCTATCTTGGCTTCCTGCCAATGTCTCTGCAGTGCATATGGTCTGTTTTGATGTTCTTAGGATGGTGTTTTAAGGCAACGCTTTACAATTGTATGGCTTGTAGGGGGATTTACTGCTCCCGATCTGCCGGAATATTCTTTATCAGTTGTGAAGGTCGCCTAATCTGCCGCTATGAAAATGCCATGTTACTAGGATGTATGGACACCGGGCTTACCTATGCCCGGACCGAATTTCTGGGCCTCCGACATTTTCGACCACGTCTTTGCATTACAAGCTGCAAAATATTGTGTTCAGTGCTTTGGAAATCCTTAAAATTTCATACGGCTAGTGAAGATGTTTTAGATAATCGCATCGTGGTTGGACAAAATGAACATCGATGGTTGGATCCCGCGGGAGATGATTCTTGGCCGAGAAGCGGAACAACGTGTTCCAGCTGAGTTTATCGTTCAGAGAGATAGCATAGCAAATCCACCAATGCTCTTCTACTTGATCGACAAATATCTTGACGATGAAAACGTAAGTTCTT